TTGAATTGAAATTTGAAATCCAATGTCACACCACACCGATCCAATGAATGGCTCGCAGGGAAAGGTCTCTTTTTCCATCCAATCCTCCATTTGGATATTATTTTTGTGAAGTGTGATCCCGTGCACTAATCAGCTTGAATGATTGCTGAAATCACATCGATTTGATTCTAACTTGTCATAATATCTTTTAATTTAAGTTAATCCAAGTTTACGTATGTGACAAGCAGACAAGCAGGTGATTTCACATTACAATCCTGTTAGTCTCATTTTTGGTCATTTTCTATCCTACCCTCTATTGGTGGTTCAAGTTATCACGCATAGGTGGGTCATTGGGTGTTGTAAATATCGGGTCCTACATAACCCGAATTGGTTATCCCCTTGCTTAAATAACTTTTCCAAATTTGGAATATGTGAGACCCTTGGATAATTTAACCCAATCCCCTTTATAATCTACCTTTATCCAAGCAAACAAACACCCCCATTTGGTTCAAACTATATTAAAGTTTTTAGTATGAGATTAGCAGTCTCCTTTGATCTCCATTATTATTTTTTATAATTTCACTAAATAATATCATCCATCATGTATTTTAAATGAAATTCATTATTTATATGTAAATCTGTTATGTATACACAGTTGAAGAGTTATTAATGAGAATAAATGTAATGCAGAGAATCTAAATCGCTCTTAACTATAAGAGAAAATAAATGAATCTGCATTTCAAACTGTCAAATCTCACAACCACATATCTTGAGTCTCCATAATCATTGTTTTCAAAGTCAAAAAACTGATAAAAGTAACATCATTAATTTGTCTGTTACATTGAATATTTTCTAGTTACATTAACGTTGATAATCTTCTTGTTACAACGATGCTTATTGTATGCAAAACTATAATTTGAAGATGAATATAGAATAAAGAGATGAATATTATGTTGTCACATCGCCATTAATGAACGTCGCAGTTTCAGAGTACTCAAGTCAAGAACAAAATCTCCAAGAGATTGGACACACACGTCGCACTCAAGTCAAGAACAAAATCTCCAAGAGATTGGACACACACGTCGCAGTTTCAGAGTACTCAAGTCAAGAACAAAATCTCCAAGAGATTGGACACACACATGTTACATGCAATTCAAACTTCCTACTACTATCCGATTGGGATTGATTTTCAATTATTCGAAAAGCACCTATAAAAATATACCAAAAGAATTAATTTAAAAGAGAGCGTGCTTGGAATTTTTTTGTTTCCTCACAATTTTTTTTTTATTTTAAATTATTTAATAAAAATGTGTTGATCGTTGCAAAGCTAAAACATAAATACTTGTAATCACTTTGTGCTTTAAGAGGGAATTCTAATTGGGGAGTAAATCTTAGTTTCGTCCTATTTGAAAGTACAGTGCAACGTAAGTGAGAAGTGATAGATTTAAAGGGATGGAAAAAATCAATGTAAATAATTTTGAAAAGGATATTAGTGGCCGTTGGATAAGTTTATTTAAAAATATTAAATAATTTATTAAAATTTACCATATTTAATATTATAGATATTTTGCCCATAGTTTTCTCATTTTTCATTGGCCTATGTATGAAACAAAATACCTATGCCTGTATATAAATGCGATTGGATTGATTGTGTGGCTTCTAATAGAACACGGAGAGAGAGAGAGAGGGGGGGGGGGGGGGGGGGGGGGGGAGGGGAGGGTTTTGGGGGGGGGGGGGGGGGGATT